AAAAGGTCAGGAAATGCATATTCCATCTTAAAGATCAGAAGCAAAAGGCAAGATCACAAGCTGTCTCACACCCTGGCGACTGAAGAATACAGCTGGTGGCTGGCAGTGAAGAGGCGCAGGGCGGCTTTCATTCACCAGGCCAGGGGGTGAGCTGTATTCTCTTTGAGTCAGAAAGGCTGTGGGGCATAGGGTGGGGAGAGACGAGGGAGCAGGACACAAGCAGGAGCACCCCACAAACCCAGCCTTGTGACATAGAAAGAGTAGGACTTTGGAGGCAGGAAGGCAGCCGTATTTGAATTCCAGCTCCACAATTTACAAGCTGTGATCCCTTGGGCAAGTCATCTAACCTCTGAGACCTGGTTTTCACTTCTGTACAATGGATGACAATAGCACCTACCTCACTGGGGTAGTTGGGAAAATTAGGTGAGCCAGTGCATGAGAAGTCTCAAACAGTGTCTGGCACATAGTAGGGACTTCGTGTTCACACCACAGGGATAAGAGGTGGAAGGAAGTGGAGGTTGAGTCTGCTCTGCCACTCACTCACTAGATGACTTTGGGCCTCAGTTTCCTCGTGTAAAATGGATAGTAATGAGAGCTATACTGCCTAGTCATTGTGAGGAGCAGAGGAGGTGGTCTGTTAGAACTAGTTCATTCCTTTTAACTGCTCTATCATCTTTCACTATTCCTCTACTGATGGACATCTAGTCTGTTTCCAATATGACAAGCTATCATGATATCCAGCTTTATAAGTCCTGTTCTAGTGCAACTATTTCTCTAAGTCAGATGATTAGAAGTGGGATTACAGGTCCCCTTTATCTGCTGTTTCACTTTCCATTATTCCGGCTACCCATGGTCAACCACAGTATGAAAATATTAAATGGAAAATTCCAGAAATAAGCAATTCATAGGTTTTAAATTGCACACCATTCTGAGTAATGTGATGAAATTTCTCACTGCCCCATGCGGGCTGTGAATCCTTCCTTTTCCAGCGGATCCACACTGTATACACTACCCACCTGTTAGTCACTTAGTAGCTATCTTGATTATCAGATCAACTGTGCTGGTATCGCAGTGCTTGTGTTCAAGTCACCCTTATTTTACTTAACAATGGCCCCAAAGTGCAAGAGTAGTGATGCTGGCAATTCAGATATGCCAAACAGAAGCCATAAAGTGCTTCTTCTAAGTGAAAGGGTGAAAGTTCTCCACTTAATAAGGAAAGAATGTGCTGAGGTTGCTAAGATCTAAGGTAAATTTTATTACAGTACATTATTATAGAATTTTTTTTAAGATTTTATTTTTTTTCTTTTTCTCCCCAAAGCCCCCCTGGCACATAGTTGTGTATTTTTAGTTGTGGGTCCTTCTAGTTGTGGCATGTGGGATGATGCCTCAGCATGGCTTGATGAGCGGTGCCATGTCCGTGCCCAGGATTCGAACTGGTGAAACCCTGGGCCGCTGAAGCAGAGCATGAGAATTTAACCACTTGGCCACGGGGCCGGCCCCTACTGTATATTATTATAATTGTTCTATTTTATTATTAATTATTGATGTTAATCTCTTACTGTGCCTAATTTATAAGTTAAAATTTATCATAGGTATATATGTATGAGAAAAACATAGTATATATAGGATTCAGTCCTATCTGTGGTTTCAGGCATCCACTGGGGGTCTTGGAACATACGCCCTGTGGATAAGGGGGGACTACTGTACTGAGTTATAGGGTGTACACACTTTTAGTTTAAATAGACATTGCCAAGTGGTTATATCAATTTATACTCTTACCAGTCGTGTATGAGAGTATCCATTCCCCCCAACCTTCTCACCATTAATATTTTTGGACTTTTGCCCACAAAAAGTGTGTCATTCTTAAATTGCATTCTCCTGATTATTAGTAAGGTTGAGTATCTTTTCATGTGCATTCCTTTTTTTGTGCTTTACGTTTTCCCATTGTTTAAAGGTGTGCTTATATATTCTAGATATCAATTCTGTCTCTATTTTATATGCAGTTGACTCTCATTATTCACAGTAGTTATGTTCTATAAAGTCACTGCAAACACTGAATTAGTGAATACTGAATCACTGCTCTTTGAGGAAATACAAGAGGAGGTTCCCATGAGCTTCTGGTCAAATTTTTGTCAAGTGATCAATCATAACTTTGTTTTGTGTTTCTGTTTAACGACATCTTACTTAGTATGTACTGTTGATTCATTAACGTTGAACCCACTGCCAACAGCACTATAACTTCCGCCTGGACAAAGTTTATCTAACACAAGTATTTTCTCCACAAGGCACGCCACAGCCTTCTTGTGCTTAGGACACTAGATACACTTCAGCATTACAGTCGGGGGCCATTTTAAACAGCGAAATCAACAAAAATCACAAGAATGCAGAAAACTTGGCACCAAATATACTGCGAAAAGGACACTTGTTTACAGTATGAGAGCTGAAACAGGAAGGCAGGGCGTGGCCTTGTTCAGCGTCAGCTGGGAATGTGTGTGATGGGGCAACTCAGTCTTTGCTGCTCTGTGCATGTCCACATCCACAAATGACCTCAAAAGCACTGCGAGTATTGATTTTGAGGTTACAAATCCATTTTAGCAAGTAGGCAAATTCCCAAAGATGGAAACTCTGAATAAGGAGAACTGACTGTATATATGTATTTACATTTATATTTATAATATCTTTGCAGTCTGTCTCTTGTTTTTTAACTTTATGTATGGTATCTTTTGTATTATTTGTATTTAATGTCTGCTTGTACTTGATGTAGGCAAATTTGCCAATTTTTCCCTTATTTTTGTAAATTAAATGTTTTATTCAAATTCTTTTTTTTTTTTTTTGAGGACAATTAGCCCTGAGCTAACATCTGCTGCCAATCCTCCTCTTTTTGCTGAGGAAGAGTGGCCCTGAGCTGACATCCGTGCCCATCTTCCTCTACTTTATATGGGGGATGCCTGCCGCAGCATGGCTTGATGAGCGGTGCCATGTCTGCACCCGGGATCTGAACTGGCGAACCCCGGGCCGCTGAAGCGGAATGTGTGAACTTAACCGCTGCGCCACCGGGATGGCCCCTATTCAAATTCTTATATTTTAATTAGTCTTTTTCTGGACTTTCTTTCTATTCTAGGCTTTCTGAACATTGGCACTATTGACATTTTGGGCCAGATAATCCTTTGCTGTCGAGTGCTGTCCTCTGTCTTGTAGGATGTTTAACAGCATCCGTAGCCTCTAGCAATAGATACCAGTAGCACCCTTTCCCCAATTGTGACAATCAAAAATGCCTCCAGACATTGCCAAATGTCCCCGGGGAGCAAATTTGCACTCAGTTGAGGGCCACTGCATTGCCCAATTCCTTTAATTTGTGTGTCAATATCACACTGACAAATTCTTGTATCTTTAAAATGTCCTGTTATCTGATGAGTCTCCTCTTCTTTCTTTGCCAAAATTGTTTTGTTCACTCTTGTACCTTTACTTTCTAGATTAATTTTAGAATTAATTTGACAGATTCCATGAAACCTTTTGTTGGCATTTTTATTTATAGATTAATTTGGGAAGAACTGATGTGTGTATGATATTGAGCCTTCCTATTTACATCCAAGCCATATCTCGCCAGATAGGTTCTTTTATGCCTTTCATTAACTTTTATGATTTCTCTATAAACGCTGAAGCCCGGGCTGTCTCTGGTCTCCCCCACTCTGGGTCTATGCTCAGATTTTTCCCTATTCCCTTGCCATTGCCTTCCAGACCTTCCTGACTCCAAGGGGAGCCAGATGGATCCTTCCACCCCAAAAGCCATCCCTCCTGCTTTCCACCGCTCAGCCACAGCAGGATTATTCATAGTCATCAGCTTCTGGTGCTGTTGTTTGTTGCACAAGTTTGTTGTTAAGTTGGAAAATTAATCTTTTACAAACGGAAAAGCCCTCTCTGTCTTTTTCTGAAACTTAGCTGCTACTCACCCTGCGCCCCCTCCCTCCCTGATGTCTGCCACCCTTGCTTCTTCTGTTTAGCTTAAATTCCTCCCCTGTCCGGCCTGGCCTTAATCCCGGTGGTGCCCCAGGGTGAATGACCCTGCCATTGCATAAGTCTCACTCAGTCCCGCCCACACACCTTTACCCATTATCTACCCTCTCCCGGAATGCCTTTTCTCCTCTACTTTGCCTTAACCAACTCCTTCACTAACTCAACGCTAATTCAAGTCTACTCTCCTTGAAACCCTCCTTACATTTGGTATCAAACAACTTTGTGCTTCATTATATCGTGGCCCAGACCCAGCGAGGTGGGCAGAAGAAAGAGCAGGACTCAAGGCCGAAAGACATGGGCTGCATTTCAGCCCTACAATGATTAGCTGTGACACTTGAAGTAAGTCATCTAATGTGTCTCAGCCTTGATTCTCTCATCTCTAGCATGGAGATAATAATGCCCATCTGGAGTGTTGTCGACCAAACTATACGGAAAGGTCTTTTGCCAGTGGGGACTTGTATCTTTCACAGAGGTTGCAGAGGTTGTAAAAATATGCGCCATAAAGGCTTGTGAGAAAGCAACACTTTTTCTGGCCCCTCAGAGGCTCCAGATGGCCTATGCCAGTGAAGGAGGGGGTAGTCCAGAACATCAGATTCTTGAAAAATACCTGTATTTAATTTCTGAATAAGCTGAGTTTGGGGAGCAGCAAATTTTTCTTATTAATTCTATTTTGTTTGGGGTAATATTAAAATCAGTTTCCATTCCCTAAGGCTAGAATTAAAATATTTTCTTAGAAAATCCACAAGCTGGATTAATCTCTATGTGACAAATAGACTGCTGACTATGTGAAATTACTTTGATAAACACCAAGCACATGCGAGTTTGGGATGGGCCTGTTCAGATCATGAACCTCCTGAGAAACGTGCCGCGGCTTCTGAGCATCCCAGGGGCGCTCGCATGCAAACGCTCAGACACCATCTCTGAATATCCCCTCTGTGAGGTGCTGCCCCGCTGGAGACAGGGAGACCACGTGGCCTCTTTCTCACCTGTAGTCTGTAAACTTAAACCTAGGTCCAACTTCGTGAGGGGCTTTGAGCTGATGAACAGGTAACAAAGCACACAGACAGTGACGATGAAGGCCAGGAGCAAGACTGCTGCTATGGACAGGCCCACGAGAGCGCCAATGCTGGGGAGAGACCATAAGGAGCGGAGCGTCAGGGAGGGACTGGGCAGGCAGTGCGTTCTATGAGAAGTGTTATAAGTGTCACAGGAATTGGCCGGCTCCGACTTTTGTCCTGTCTCTACTTGTCTCAGGCTTTCTGAGCCTAACCATGGGAAACAGCATCAACTATATGCCAAGTATTCACCACATACATAACATGACACGCCTCAGTGCCACCAGGTAGTTGGGACTCACTATGTGTTCCTTTTCTTCTCTTCTCCTTCCCTCCCTATTATCCTCAACCTGTTCCCACCCTAGAAAGCGGGAGAGGATCTGAAAGAGCCCTCCCCATGCTGCCGTTCCTTAAAAACAAGACACATAGTAGCCTTTAGCTAAAAACCAGCTATCCTTCCAGCTTCAAGGTAACTTCCCACCCACCCTCCAGTGGGTCATCACACCCGTGTGGACTCCTCATCTAGAGCACCTCACTGCCGCTGGTCCCTCGCCCGCCAACCTCACTGCTTCTGCCCCAAGTCAGGCCTTGGGCACCTGGTCTCCAGACAACTACCTCCTGGCTCATTTGGGGGCCACCATCTTTCCTGTTTCACATGATCTCTCCACTGGGATTTTACCTTTGAAGGCCCTTTACGTTTGAAGATCTCTGAAGGCCCATCTCACTGTCTCCTCCTCACTAATGCTTTCCTTGGTCATCTTTCTCTCCCCTTTCTTCCCCCCATGCCAGGCTAATCCACCCAGGACACATGACTCAGGGCCTTTTGCCCTTCCCACTGGGTCAGGCAGCCCAGTGTGGTGGGGAAACAGCAAAGGGCTTTGGAACCAGACCTACTTGGGTTAAGACCCAGGTCTGTAACTAACTCTGTGAGATCTTGATGAAGTTATCGAACCTTTTGAGCCTCGGCTTCTTGGTCTGAAAAGTAAGAAAGATCAAAACACAGCACCTCACAAGCAGTGGAGAGGATGAATAATATACGTAATATTCTTGGCACACAGTAGGTGTTCAACAAATTCCTCGTGTGTTCCTCAAGGCAGACTCAGACCACATTTAATCGGCTTTGTCCTCACCTTGTATAAGCCCTGGCACATAGTAGGCAGTTAGTACAGATTATCGTGTGTCAGGCTTTGTGAGATGTTCTCCCAATAGTAGGGGAGACGTAGTACCAGGATTTGTGTGCCCTTCCACCTACAGCTCCTTCTCCAGCTTTTCTGCCCTCCCTCTCCCCGACCCCAGCCCCAGACTTCTGCTCCTGCCATTTCTGCTGGATTTTGCTCCCAGCTAGCCGATGGCTGATTTCCCAGCTAGCTAATAGCTAATTGAAACTTAACAGAGACATCTTAAAGCTTTGGAGAGTTCGTCTTCCCATGGTTAAATAAATTATTGGTGCCCCTGCCATGGAATAGTATAGAGCCAATAAAAACATGTTTTCAAATAACATTTAAGATCAAGGATAAATTCTGATGAGATAATGTTAAGTGAAAAGAGCAGGCACACTACTAAATATATAGGATAATCCCAACTTAAATAAAAATAAACATAAATATATACATAACTATATACATGTAAGGTTGGAGGGAAATACACCAAAATGCTAACAGGCTGTCTGTGGGTGTAGTGCAGGCTGTGGATGTCCTGTCTGTATTCCCTTGGGTCTTATAATTGTCGAATATTCTGGCCAGAGTTTCAAATGCCAGCAACTGTATCTGTTTGTCTGAGGGCTTTCTCCGGCTTAGAGCAGTCTCTGTCTGCACACTGAGCAGGTCAGAAGTGTGGGAAAGTTAATGCCTCCCTTCTCCCACCAGCACAACCACTGACAGACAGACGTTGGCACGCAAATACTCAGCTCCCTGGCCCTCAGGTGGGATGACTCAGGCCTATGTTCTACACTGTCTGGCAGAGTTCAGCAGGTTTAAACTCCAGGGGCCCTCGCGGTGACTTGCTTGGTGACATACCATCGTTAGCTCCTTCCCTTCCCCGGCTCACTTCCCCACCCTCTGGCAGTGTTTTCTAGGATCACTTTCTGTATAAACTACTTGCCCTCAAATCCTTGTCTCTGAGTCTTCTGGGAAACCAAGTTAAGGTACTGGATCTCCCAAGATTTCTTTCCTTTTTTGTCTCTCCTGTCCTTTCCACATTTTCCACATTGAGCATGTAGTACATTTTAGTTCTTGTAGGCACTTTATTTAAACATTATTTACTTTTTTGAGACATACTCACTATTTATAAGGCCATCTGGGAGACTTGTGCTCAGATTGGGACTCCACCCTTTACTAATGACATCTATGGGCACCTGGATGGAAACCGCCCTCGAAAAGTAGGGTCCTTTGAGGAGGGGGGTGAGAGAGCTGGGGGGATATGTCCCAGATCAGTGGTCAGTCAGGGAGCAGGCCCTGCCTCTGATAGTGTGTCTGGAGACAGAGGAACCAGCCCCTAAGGATAGAGCTGGGAACAACAAGGGAGGCTCCAACGGGGAAAATCTGTGCTTAGTATAAGATGAACTGTAAATGATCAGCATTGTCCCATGGTGAAGGTACTGCCTCAAGAGGACAGGTTTGCACAGAACACCTGAATGAGTACACCTTTCAGTGAAGTTAGAGATTCCTGCCCCAGGTGGGAAGTTGGGTTGAAGAGCCACAGGCCTCTAGGGTCTCACAGATCTGTGACTCTGAAAGATAAATAACCCACGGTGACCTCCAGGAAAGAATTGGAGAGGCAGCCTGACATTTGTTAGGGCTTTTGAGTCAAGCACTTCTAAGTTTGAATCTTGGTTCTCCCACATATAAGCTGAAAAATCCTTCACCTCAAAATCTTCATTCGTAAAGGTTCCTATCACACCAGATGTCCATGAAGATTAAACAGAATGTGTAGATACAGCGCCTGACCACCAATTCTGCCCTCCAGCAAGGCTGCTGCCTTTTGGCTCACAGCCCAGTAAAAAAAACCCAAAACACAACTACTGATAGAGGGTGTCTGGAAAGTGGATCAGACATGTGACAGCAACAGCTGCTTCTCCACAGGGCGTCTTCACGTCCTGAGATATGCTTTTAAAGACAGCAATTCTCCTTGAGCACAAGGAAACAGCATCCACCTGGAGATTTTTATGCTTTTAAGGGCCAGCTTTCATGAAAAGGGCCAAATGGAGTCCAGAGCAAAACAAGGCCTCCACCCTGCAATGCTGGGGCTCTGATAGGAGCATGCCAGAAGGACTGTCTCAGTACACTGATCACCTAGCTGTCCTGAGGACCCTTGGTTCCCCTCCTCCAGTTTGCAACTGTCTGTGAGGTTTATGAACCATGTTACGTCCAAGTTCAGGAAAAGTGAGCCCTGGAAGCTAGAACGTTTCAGTTGCCCTTGGGGTCTGGAATGGGAGCACACTGACATGCAGTGTGACGTCAGAGATCCCCCATCTAACCCACTATCTGACTGTCTGAGCCACTAAAGCACTCCACACATCAAAAGGGTCCAAGGCAATGGGAGGGACTACAAGGGGTACGCAGGGAAGGGATGGTGGCAGAGGGATGAGGTCCCGGCTGGGTGCTGAGGGGTAACCGGGGTTGGGAGCAGAGGAGCCTGAGCTTTCGTCCCAGCTCTGCCACTTCCTCTCCCTGGGGCACTCTCAGATAGTAACTTAACCTCTTTCAAGTTTTCTCATTTGTAAAATGGAGAGCAGAGGTGCCAGGGCTGCAAATGTGTGAATGCGTCTGGCCCTTGGATGTCCTAGTAATGTTCTTTAAATCTCAGTCTGCTATGACATTGCTAGAAGATCTTGGGTAATTCACTTTCATACCCTGAGCTTCACTTTCCCCACCTATGAACCAGGGAAAGGGAACTCCCTTTTACTGAGCACCCACTATAAGCACTAGTCACTTTCACATGCACTATTTCATTTAATCCTCACAACAATTCCATGAGACAGGTATTACTATTGCTATTTTAAAGATGAAAAAAGCAACTTGGAGAAAATTTGCCCAAATTCACATAGCTATTAAGTGACAAAGCCAAGGTGTGGACAGGGTTCTACCCAGCCCCAAGACTCCACACTGTCTCTATACCTCAAAGGGAGGTCAGCGCTATCATATTTCAGCACCCAGCTCAGTGCTAAGTACACAGTGGGTCTTCGACAAATAGTCCACTGTTAGCTTTAGGTGCATGTCCTATCTCTCTGAACGTTCTGTGAGCTCCTCAGGGGCAGGGCATAATTGATTTCTGTGTCCCCAGTGCCTAACATAGCACCTGGCAAAACGCAGAGGCTATAATGAATGAATGAATATATGGATGAGCAGAGAATAGTAAATTAATATAATTCCCTGGGTTACGGATAGCAGATTACAGATAGCAGCCAAATGTGCAGGATTTGAAAACCTGGCCATCTGAAAATCCCTTAGAGTTATAGATTGAGCGGTCTAGAAAAAGCGATAATATCTGTAATTGTCAGTGGCATATGTCAAGTTGATTTCACCGCTTTATCTCATTTGGTCCTTGCCCTAGTCAGAAATCAGAGCGACGATTTATCATCCTCCCATTTGATAGATGAAAAGACAGAGGCTCAGAGAGGTTTTAGTGAGGAACACTTCTTTCCCACCCAGAGGGCACGCAGCCTCTGGCCCATACCTCCAGGGACAGGAAAACCACTGTCTACTAAGGCGGCCCAGCCCACTTTTGCTGATGTCTGCTTCCCAGAGCAGGCTCAGGATCAGGTCCTATTTTCTGGATGAGGCCTTTGGAGACCCCGAAAGACTGAGATCTATTGCCCTCCCAGCCCCACACTTAGGTTCCAGGAATGTCAGCACTGGCCTAACCACCTCCTTCCCTGAACAAGTGGGGAAACTGAGGACCTGTGGGTGGGGATTCACCCAAATAACATATCTATTAGTATAGCCTGAGCTGGCTTCTGCCGTGCCATTATGCTGTTGTCTCATGGTGAACTTGGAGGCAGCTCTGATCCCCAAGTCTTCTGCCTTAGCTCTGGAGTGGTGTACACCCCCAGCACTCACCCCAGGCCTGTCACATGCTAAGTGCTATGTAAGGAGCGGCTGAAAGAATGACTAAATATGAGGCTGGGCGGAGGCTGGGGTTGAGCTGGGGTGTAGCATCAGGAGAGGATTAAGGCTTGAGGCTGAGGTTTGCAGGTAGGCCTAGACGATGTTTAGAGTCAGGGTGGGAGAGAAGCGCTGAGGTGGAGTTGCAAGGAGGATGGAGGGGGAGGTTGGGGCTGGGATCAGCATTTGGGAGTGAGACAAGTCAGGGATCAGGTTGGGGTCGACATCAGGGAAGGGACCTTGCCGGCACTTGGGATGAGGGTGGAGTTTGGGTTTCCTGTGAACGTTGGAAGATGGGAGTTTGCTGTTAGGGAGAGAGTTGGTAGGTAATTTGGGGTCGGGTTGAGGATGAGGGTGGTGGAGGAGGACGTTCAAGCTTGGATCAAACAATGGAGAGAGGGTCAGGATGGGGGAAGGGAGCTGAGAAACGGTTGCAGGGGGAGTCGGGGTAGTGGTGGGGAGAGAGCGGAGTTCAGTATCGGGCCTGAGGGGCTAAGGGCTGCGTGGGGGCTGGTGCTGACGTTGGGACGGGCACCTGGGTGAGGACTGAGGGTTCGGCAGGCGGCTGGGCCTGAGGGTGGGGCGAGGGGGCTGGGTTCCAGGTGGGGTTCGGGCCAGGGTCGGTACCTGAGCCACCACATGTAGCTGTGCTCGTAGGGGAAGAAGCTGTGCGGGTCGTCGCAGCAGTACTTGTGGTCGCGGAAGCCGCAGCAGAAGACGGCGGCCGCCTCGCCCCCCGGCCGCGGGCAGCTGAAGCCGCGCACCGCCTCCCGCTCGGCGCTCACGTAGCTCGTGCAGGCGCCGCTCATCGCGTCCGCGCCGGGCCGCCGACCCCTTGGGCCCCTAGACGGGCACGGGCGGCGGGGTGAGCGAGGGGCGCACGGAGACAGACCTGAGCCCGGAGAGACAGAGACACGGACAGAGAGACAGAGATCGACGCACAGAGACCGAGAAAGACACCGCGAGAGGCGCAGAGACGCCACGGTGAGACCTGGAGTCCCCGGGGACCCAGAGGCGGCCGGGCGCGCGGACCGGACGCGGCGGGGGAAGGGGAGAGAGGGAGAAGGGCGGCGGGGCGGCAGGAGGGGGCGACCCGCGGAGCCGGGAGGAGGGAGCCGCCGGGCGCGTCCCTGCCCGCGTCCCCCCACCTCCCACGGGCCCGGCGTCTGCGCTGGGGCGCCGGGGCTCGGAGAGACAGGGGGTGGACGCCGGTCCCGCTCTGAGCCCCGCCTGCCGCCAGGCCCCGTGCTGGACGCTGCGAAGCCCGGGGCAGCTGCAGGCGAGCGCAGGACACAACCAAGGGACCGGTCCGCGACCGCGCGCAGAGTCAGTGTGGCATGATGAATATACGACCTCAGTTACCCTTTACGACAATCCAGAGGACCAGGGATGTTCAAACTCACTTTATAAATGAGAGCCACCGGTCAGAGAAAAGTCATTTGTCCGGGCTCTGAAGCCTGCTGGGGTTTAACCTGGAACTAGACGGTTCCCGAGCTCTTCCCCTTTTGGGGCTCTCACATTGCGTCTTTTCCAGTGGACTTTTAAATGTCTTCGTCCTCTGGTTTCCTTGCTTGCCTCTTCCTTTCCCTGCGCGGCTAGCTCATACACCAACATGTTTACACTCCTCTGCTCACACTTCCTGCTACACTGGCCTAGGACAAGGGAGCTGGTGGATGCCCCAGATGTAGTAACCCCGCCCACCGGGAAGCAGAGGCAGCACACCGCTCCATCCTCAGAGATTATTTGCAGGTCACCGGGCAGTGTTCCCCTGGCATCGAGGACCGCGCCTGAAGCATCTGTGGGAAGCCCGTCGAGCCCGCGGGTCTGTCCTCTCAGGGTGCGTGGGGGAAACGCCAGCTCGGGCAGGCGCTCGGCTTGGCCCGGTTACGCTGAGCCAGGACCAGAGACAGCTGTCAGGGATTCCCATTCAGCCAGTCACAGGATGTTGGGGCTGAAAAGGACCTGTGGGCCATGTAGTCAGTTATTGAATCACAGCTGGCATTGAAAAGGATAAATAAATAAATGGAATAGGAAAAGTGCACTGCCAATAGTAGAGCTAACTATTCTTTCATAAAATGTTTGTTTCAGTTACCTATGTATGTATGTATTGTGGACCAGATCACGATGTAAAGTGAATTTCTTATTTGCATCAGGTTAAAAGGGTTTGAGAGGCACTGACTGACGCCTCCCATTGTACAGATGGGCAGGGGCTAGCTCCAGATTACGAAATCTTAGCTCTCCGCATGTTTCACAGCAGTGGGTAGAGTAGGAAATAGCTCATATGAGCCTTGAGACTCCCCAGTTCCTCCATCCCTTGCTTTGGGTGTGTGGGGGACAAATCATGGGCTTTAGGGGACCTGGGCTCAAGCCCTACTTCTACCCCGTCCCTGCTTTCTCTCTCTGTGCCTCAAGTCCCTTTTCTTCTCTAGGCCAGCTCCTCAGATGCTGACGTGTGCCATGCCCTTGACTTGGGTTCTGGAGCCTCTGAGAGGGGTCAGACCTGGGTCTTTAGAAGCACGCAGTGTGGTGTGGAGTCAGACAATCACAGGACAGGGCAGTGAGAGGGGAAATATGAGGCCTGTGGCCACAGAGGGGCCACCTGAAGGAGCAGGGAAGAGTTTTGATGGGGTAGTGTCCTCAAAGGTCACTGTAAGGTCAAATATGAAAACTAGAGGGAATTGCCATCATCCCCCAGAGAATCCTCCCCTGAGCTGTGGATGTCTGCAAACTGGGCCTGGATGACATCCTCTGATGGAGGTGCCTTTTGGCCTCCTTATCAGATAGAGAGTAAAGGGGAGGAGCTGAACCCTGCGGAAGGGAGAAAGGTCTCCTGGGAACATGGGTTTCAGCTGAGAGGTAGAAAGCACTCTGCTCTGGCTTTTGGCAAAATTGGGAAGCTACCAACAGTTTCCAAAGTCCTTTTCCAGCCAAGAATTAATTTGCTCCTCCTAACAACCCTGTGGGTTGAGCCAAGCAGGGATAACTGTGCCACTGAGAGAAATCACAAGCCCAATGTCACACAGCTGTCAGTTGCCCAGGCAGGACATCTGTCCGGCCAAGGGTCCCCTTTTGGCAGTCTGATGAAGACTATGGACCCCTATTCAGAAGAATTTTTTTTTTCCTGAGGGAGATTTGCCCTGAGCTAACATCTGTGTCAATCATCCTCTATTTTTTTTTTTTTTGTATGTGGGACACCCCCACAGCGTGGCTGGTGAGTGGAATAGGTCTGAGCCGGGATCCAGACCGCCCAACCCAGCTGCCAAAGTAGAGCTCACAGAACTTTTACTATTCTGCCGTGGGGCTGGGCCCCAGAAGAATATTTTTAACTACAAAAAGTAAATTACTTAGGATTACAAAGGATATCAATTATATAGAATCATTATCAAAATATTTATTTTGTGAATTGGTCCTTGTTTAACATATTAAACAATAAAATCTAGAGATTAAGCATTGTAATTTTGAGGTGATGAATGAGTGTAAACAGTGTTTCAAGATATGGCTACTCTGATGCAGTACAGAAGTGTCTGTGATTTTTATTGGTACCTGAGTCACGGGTACTGCTACTACTACTGTGATTTGTTGCTTACGTGCGTGATAGAAGGAAATGCTAAATTTCAGTTAGAGGTTAGTGAAAACAAGGATGGTATTTTTCCCCCTCCAAGTTCATGGACAGCCCCCCACCCCCAGACACTCTCTCCATGGATCCCTTGGGCTCTGTGGAATCTGTGCTCAAACCCTCTGCCTCTCTGGTCCAGCTCCTACTCCAATGCTTGTTCCTTCATCACGTGCACCATGTCTCCTCCTGGAGGCATTTATTGAAGACCTACTATGTGTCAAGTGGTTTCCCATCTTGTATGAAATATAATCCTTGAAAACTTCCTTTGAGGTAGGTGTTATTCTTCCCACTTTACAGACAAGGTAAGTGAGACTCAGGGAGGTTACGGGATTTACTGAAAGCCACACAGCTAGTAACCGATCAGAGTCCTGTACCACCAACTCCTTCCTTCCCAAGTGAGGCCTGGGGGCCAGAGTCTACAACACCAGAAGGGAGGAAAGTCTAGGAGAGAAAAGTGAGCAGGGAGAGCTCACATTTACGGAGAACACACTGTGACCTAGAAATTGTGCTCTGTGTTCTTCATGGTCTGCTTTAACCCTCACAACTCTATGCAGTATTACTCTACTTTTTAAAAAAATAAAAATAACTAAATACATACATATTCATTATAAAACAACAAATTAGAAAAGAGATAAATCAAAGGGAAAAATAAATATGACCCATAATCTCACCACACAGAAATATCTGTTGATTCTTTGGTGTGGAGTCTTCCAGATACACTCACTCACACACAATTTTGCACCCACTTTAGGAAAATGATCCAGAGAGGTTAAGTAACTTGCCCAAGGGTATACAAGTACTAAGTTCCAATCACCTGCTGTGTGTGACCTTAGGTCAGTCACTGTCCCTCGCTGTTTTAGGGCAGTGGTTAAGATTACTCAAGATAAAAGAGCTCTCGCGCTTCTGTGCCGCTCTCAAAACAGTGCGCTCTGGACCTCAGCAGCCTTGCTCCAGGAGCCTGGTGCCCTCAGAGGGTCCACAAAGAAACGCCCCCTCGCTGTAGTGACAGACTTCGCAGCTCGGTGACCGCAGTCAACAGAGGCTGAGAACCCTGGCTCAACCTGCGGTTGAGTATTCGGTTCCGCGGGCCTCTGACGCGTGTGTGGTCAGCTGGGAGTCCCCGGACTCCGGACGCGGAGCAGGGCGAGCAGCCCTTCTCCCCTTGCCCTGCAGGCCCCAGCTGTGCCTACCCAGACCCTCCTCCCCATGTCTCCTCCCCTCCTCTCCCCAGTCCTGCCGGGCTCTGATGCCAGTTTGCAGTTCACCGCAGCTGGGGAAGCAAAGAAAGGACCAGGCGTGCATTAAGTCCTTCTGCCAGTGCCTCACCGCCACTCGCTTGATGCCCAGGACAGATTCTTCCCCTTCTCTTCTGGAATGAGGCTGTTGCGTCTCATTTTGAGAGAAGTGACTTTGCTACGGTGGAACATCAAATCCAGGGACAAATCGGAGATGGAGGCTCAGGTCTCCTGGTACCAGCCAGGCTCTCCCCTACTCTAGGTGGCCACTCTTTCGGTTTAGGTTTTCGTTTGCTGTTTGATTGTTTTACTATGAAATGTTTAAGACACACAAAACGACATAAAGGATAACGCAAGGACTACCCACGTACCTTCCACTCCGTTTACGAAATAAAAATTGACCAATCCTGTTTGAAGCCCCCTGTGCCCTCCTCCCTGCCAGCCCACCCCCGCCCCGTAACCGCTCTCTTGAGTTTGGTGTTTATTATTCCCATGCTCTTCTTTATGCGTTTATCACGTATGTATGAATCTTTGAGCAATATATGGAGTTATTTTGCACGTGATTAAATTTTAAATAAGTAGCGTCATACTGCATGTGTTCTTCTGGAACTTGCTTTTTTTCACTCCATCTTACCTTTGTGAGCTTTGTGTATACTGACACGTATGCTCAAGCTACTTCATTCACTTTTGTTGCTTTGTAGTTTTCCACTTAATGAATATATGAATATATGATGATTTCTTATCAGTTTTCTCCAACAATTAGATTCCTTCCAATTTTTTATTGCTATACAATAATGCTCCTCTTGAGTTTTTTCTTTTAAAATCAATTTTGTTGAGGTATATTTTACAAACAAAAAGATATACCCATATTGAATGTACAGCTTGGTGAGATTTGACAAATATGTACACTCATGTAACCAGCACAGTCAAGAAGCGGTACATTTCCATCAGCCATCACCATCCCTTGTGCCCCTTTGCAGTCAGCCCCTCTCCCCA